TTGACTTTGCTATCTTTAATAGCTTTTTTATCGAGAAACAAATGGGGCTTTTTTCCTTGAACAATCTTTTCCCTCCCTCCTTTTTATCTTCTTTTTCCCTTTTGTAGCATTTTCCATTTTTGCAGAACTGATTCGTGTGTATTCTTCTACTCTTTTTTTTCAGATTTCCCTCCACTTTGACTGCATTTTCTCTTTCTTGACTCCATTCTTCACTCGTTTAAAAGTGTGTAAACTTCCTCTTTGTCCTCCTCGCTTTATGAATAACCCCCTCATCCCCCCTCCCCCACCATGTGTTCTGTTTGTAGCTCCAGCTTTATCTCTCTACCGATTTTTCTTTTTCTTTTTAATTTAGAGTGTCACAGCTTTAGATGCTATTTCTAATACATGTATGTCTATTTCCGTGGTGAGGAATAATGCCTACACAAAGGCTGAGGGAGACAAAGAAGGGGAGAGAGAGGGAGAAGGAAAAAGAGAGCAAAAGACACAAAGAAAAAGAGAGAAATAAAGTAAACGCGCTGGGGTGGTTTTGAACGAGAGAGAGAGAGGGAGAGAGAGAGAGAGAGAGAGAAAGAGAGAGAGAGAGAGAGGGGGGGGACAGACTGACTAACAGACAGACAGACAGACAGACAGACAGACAGACAGACAGACAGACAGACAGACAGACAGACAGACAGACAGACAGACAGACACAGAGACACACAGACACACACAGAGAGAAAGAGAGACAGAGTAAGAAAAGACAGGAAAAGGGAAAGAGTGACTGGAATGGGGAACTTCGGGACATGATTTGTTAGCACCTCCTGTCAAAAAATACCTTTGTATTTTCTAAAAAAGGCCCCTAACTCTGTATTCTTTGCTCCTGCGTGTGTCATTTCGTACAACACAATCGATCTCCATCATGTAATTTATTGCAACGTAAGCTCCTTTCACAAACACACGGCCTTGTCCCAATACTCATGGAATAAACTTGATGTGCTGCTTCCGAATCCAGTGGGGCGCTTTATTTCTCGCATGTAGGCTTAAGGGAGAGAAAACATGCCAACAAACGACACATCAGGACATATATACTGTCCCTGATTCTGACTCAAGCTCACACAATAATGTTGATGAATAGGCCAGTAGTTAGGCTGGAGAACATTTGAAGTACGATTGTCAATATATCTTGCTGTCAGCGAGCAAGAGATAACGTGACAGCTGGCCCTTTTTTACGGTTGACATCTCTTATCGTCTTGCCCACCGCTCGTTTCTTATTAAGGGAACGGGAGTCTAGAGAAAAACGGCGCATTGCGAAGAGCCAAATCACGAATTGTTTGACGACTTTATAGAAATTTAAACTGTTGGCTAAACTGTTGGGTATCTCTTGTAGCGTCAGTTTCTGGATAGATTGTAAATTACGGTCGGTGTGTGTGTGTGTGTGTGTGTGTGTGTGTGTGTGTGTGTGTGTGTGTGTG